ACTGATACTAAGTACTACTGTTATTATACTACGACTGATACTTCTACTACTGCTACTCAGTACTACTGTTATTTTGCTCCTGATACTACTTCAATTTACTACTGTTATTATACTACTACTGATACTACTAGTAGTACTTCCATTACTATACTGCTGATACTGCTGCTGAATATTACTGTTGTTATACTAATACTGCTGAAAACTACTGTGGCTGCTAAGAACATCTGTTAATATGTAGTTAATCACACTACCAGTGCTACCAAATACTACTGTTATACTGTTAAATAATTATATACTACTGTTGAGTACTGCTGTTACTATACTACCCCCACTACTGAGTACTGTAGCTATTCTACTCCTAACTGTACTACAGTTAAGATACTGCAAATTCTACTACTACTGAGTATTACAGTCATTATAGTACAACTGTTGAATATTACAGTATTATACAGCTAAAGCTACTACTGCTACTGATTCTACTACTGCTACTACTACAGCTGATTGTTCTACTACTGCTAATACTATTGAAAACTATGTTCATTATACTGCAGTGTACTATTGTCATTATAGGACTGATTGCACCACTAGTACCACTACTAACACTGCTACTACTACTACTGCTGAATCCTACAGTCATTATACTGCTAATTATACTACTACTAGTAGTACTTCAACACTACTACTACTACTACTACTACTACTACTACTACTACTACTACTACTACTACTACTACAACTACTACTACTACGACTACTGCAGATTATATTACTAATACTACTACCAATGCTGCTGATTGTACTACTACTAAAGCTGCTTGTTTTACTACTACTACTACTACTACTGTTAATTTTACTACTACTACTGGTGATTTTACTACCTCTACTGCTACTACTATTGCAACTGCTTCTACTGCTACCACTACTACTGATTCTACTACTACCACTACTACTGATTCTACTACTACTAATACTACTGATTCTACTACTACTACTACTACTACTGCTGATTCTACTACTGCTACTGCGACTGCTATTGCCTATTCCACTGCTGCTGCTGATTCTATTACTACCACTACTACTACTACTGCTGCTGCTGATCCTACTGCTATTACTACTACCACAACTACTGATTCTACTGCTACTACCGTCGATACTAATACTACTACCACTACTATTATCACTACTGCTGCTGCTGATTCTACGACCAAGGAGTACTATTGTCATTATACTACAGACTGTGCTAATACTATTACAGGTAATTCTACGACTACTACTACTGAGTCTACTACTACTACTGATGATTATTCTACTGCTACGGCTGTTGATTCTACTACTAATACTACTGATTCTACTACTACTACTGCTACTGAGTCTACTACAACTACTGATTCTACTACAGCTGCTGATTCTACTCCTACTGCTGATTATTCTGCTACTACTACTACTGTTTCTACTACTACTACAGCTGATTATACTACTATTACTACTACTGCTACTGTTGATTCTTCTACTACTACTGCTGCTGATTACTCTACTACTACTACTTCTGATTCTACTACTACTACAGCTGATTCTACTACAACTACTACTACTACTGTTGATTATTCTACTATGACTATAGATGATTCTACTGCTACTACAACTACTGATTCTACTACCACACAGAGGGTAGTCTCTCTGGTTCTGTTGGTTCCTGAGAGGAAAACTTTTAGTGTGGTCTATTTATTTACACCACCACGTTGACGTTTGCCATAGTTCTCCATAGTTCTCCATGGTTCTCCATGTTTCGCCATAGACTTTAACACTCATGTGGACAGTGATGTTAAACCTGGAGGGACGTTCTCCTGGTTTGGACCACTGTGATCTGCTGGTACTGATCTTCTGTGCAGAACACGGATTGGTCAGAACTATGTTCAGAACTTTGCTGAATGTCTTGGACACAGTGAGCCATCAGCTGATCACCACCTGGAGACGAACTGGACCAGATGAAAAGCTACTGGGCAGACCTGGTGAACCTAGATGCTTAGAGATGGTGAAAACATCTGATGGAGGCACCTGTCTGTAAAATCTTCAACTCCTACCTACAGAAACATCCTAATTCCTCCAGGGGGAAGTTGGCCACATGGACTCTGATGGGTCGTGTTCCAGGCCTCCATTGTGGAGGCAGCTGTTAGCAGCTGTGGTCAGAAATCATTGGTTCCTGTTGTCGGGGCAGCCAGAGAACCTGCTGGTGAACACTGGCAGTAAGGGAGGCCATCAAGCTGAAAAAGGAGACCTTTTGGGTTTGGTTGCCCTGGTGGTGTCCTGAACTCCTGAAGAAGAAGGGCTCCAGAGGAAGCTGAAGCTCTGCAAAAACTGAAAGGTCAGGGGAGGCTGTGGAGAAAGACTTTAGGTGGCCTCAGGGAAGATCTGTCAAACCATCTGATGCCTCAGGAAGGGAGGCGGGTGTTGGTCCAGACTGTGTTCAGCCGGTCTGATGGTGTCTGGAAGAAGCACTTCGTAGAGCTCTGAAAGCAGGCCAACACATCCTCTGTGGACGAGGCAGAGTGTGAAGACTTGGAGGAAGCCTCACCTCATGATGGATGGATGGACGGATGGATGGATGGATAGATAGATAGATAGATAGATAGATAGATAGATAGATAGATAGATAGATAGATNGGATGGATGGATGGATAGATAGATAGATAGATAGATAGATAGATAGATAGATAGATAGATAGATAGATGGATAGATGATAGATAGATAGGTAGATAGATAGATAGATAGATAGATAGATAGATAGATAGATAGATAGATAGATAGATAGATGATAGATAGATAGATAGATGGATAGATGGATAGATAGATCCACTGGTCCTCTGAACACACTTTACCACCCTCTGCAGGTCCTGTTCTCGGCCACCGTGGAGCTGCAGAACCTCACCATGATGCAGGAAGTCAGGGTCTCCACCACATACCTGTAGAAGGAGCTGAGGATGCTGGAGTTCAGCCCCGCCCCCTTCAGCTTCCTCTGGAAATCCAGGCATTAATGAGCCTTTTTGATGATGCTTAGGGTGAAGGTCTCTGAGGTAGCTCAGAAGTTCCTCAGTCTGAAGGTGCCAAGTGTGGATGAGAAGTGTGGGGTGATTCATCTCGTCAGTGTTCTCCAGTCATCAGGGTATCACACTGTTTCGTTCACTTCAGTCTGCTTGAAGAGATGCTCAGGCCGACTGTTAAACCTCAGATTCAGGAGGAACACTGTGGGTTTTGTTCTGCCTGTAGAACAACAGGCCATGTATTTACTCTGAAGAGCTGCTGAGGAGACCATGACACTTTAACCAACCTGTCCACATGTCAGATGTGATGTGTAGGCCCAGGAACTTGATGCTGTCCACACGCTCCACTGCCTCCCCATGTATGTGGATCGGAGCGTGATCTGTCTTCTTGGACCTCCTAAAATCCACAACGACCTCCTTTGTCTTGCTGGTATTCAGCACAAGGTTGTTGTCTCAACACCAGTGGGTCAGGTGCTGGATCTCCTCCCTGTTGTGGGTCTCATCATCGTCCTTTATGAGGCCCACCACAGTGGTGTCGTCTGCAAACGTGACGACCAGGTTGGTGGAGTGGATGGCAGAACAATGGTGTGTGAACAGTGTGAAGAGGACTGGGCCGTTCAGTCCCCAGTTCTCACCACCTGAGGCCTGCTGGTGAGAAAGTCTGTGATTCAGGAACACAGAGACGGGGACAGGCCCAGGTCTAGGAGCTTCAGCACCAGCTTGTCTGGGCTGACGGTGTTAAAAGCTGAGCTGAAGTCGACAAATAGCATCCTTGTGTAGGAGTCAGGATGCACCAGTGGGACAGGGCTGATGGGAGTGTGAGAGGGACTGCATCCCCCTGTAGGCGAACTGAAGATCGTCCAGATCAGCAGGGATGGCGTCTTTGATGTGTTTCAGAAGGAGACTCTCAAAACACTTCATGATTGCTGGGGTCAGAGCAACTGGGCGGTAATCATTTAGGCAGGGGATGGCTGATTTCTTTGGCACAGGCCCAATGATGGAGGACCTGAGGCAGCTGCAGGGACGGTTGAAGATGTCCAGAAAAAGTCCTGCTTCTACTGCTAATACTATGACTGATTATAATACTACTACTACCACTACTACTGGCTGCACTGCTACTACTACTATTACTATTTCTACTTGTACTACTACTGCTAGTGCCACTGATTCTAATATTACTACTACTGCTACTGCTGCTGCTGCTGCAATTACTACTTTGTATACTGCTAATTATACAAACTCAGTAAACTAATATGACTGCAGTACTCAGTAATACTGTAACAACACTTCAGCAGATTTTTTTATTGACAGGTCGTCTGTCCAATCAGATCCCTTTAGTTATTGCTGATCATTGATTAGGGTTTGGATGTTTTATTGACAATTATCCATTAGTTTACTTTGGTATAATAATAACTTCCAGCCAGTATTGATCAGAACTGATTTGTCCCAACAGAAACCTACTGGTAGTGTCGATGATCGTCTTACTGGCAGCAACAGCTTCTACGGCTCCTGTAGAGGGTAAAATCTGCTGTTCTTATTTCACATTATTGATCAGATATCTGTGTTTGATTGGTGTCACTGATCAGATGTTAGTGTTTGGTTAGTGATCAGGGTTTGTGTTGTATCTTTCAGAGAAGGAGCAGGAGGAGGTGGAGGTGGAGGCCACCGAGGAGGTAGAGGGGGAGCTGTCCGAGGAGGAGGAGGGTAATACACTGTCACTGATCATTCTAAAAAGGTCCAATACTGATTTACTTAACTAACAGTGACCTTGGTGGAATCATTAACAACAAATCAGACATTAACAATAGTCACCACTTTAGAAAAAGTGAAACTCAGGCTCCAAAGTAGAAGCTCAAAGAACCAAAGTGAACCCAGCTGTGATCAGTGACACCAAACTGAGTCCAGCTGTGGTTTCCATCAGTCTACCTGCATGAACATGGTTCTACAA